GCCGAGATGTTGCGGTTGCGAGTTCCATCAAACAGTTTTTTTGCTATTCTTTCTGAGCGACGTGAATTTAACCCGATCCGTATCGCTCTCATTTAGATGGTAGAAGTCCGATAGAGCAGCGTACAATGGCGGGCAAAAAAGGGAACTCCAAGGCCCGAAATCAATGGACCTTTGTCAGGTTACCTTCGACCTATCCTCTCTGTAACTTCCTATATCTTTTTTATGTTTCTTTATAATCATTTATAAACAAATAGGTTCAGGAGTGAAAAATTGTTCGAAATTCTCTTTAAAAAACAATTCCTAAACAATTCTATTGATAACAAATTATAAATAATAAGTATCTATATTAGAGAAATTAAAAAAATGAATTCATATTTATTTCATCATGGTACTGTGTCCATCTAAGGAATTTGATTGTTCCTGATATAAAATGGTGGAAAAATGTCTCACCGCAGCATAAACTTTACATATTGTGGTATGCCGTGATTTAATCTCATTTTCCGAAGTGATTACCGTTTTCGTAAATCGATAAATTGATTCTGTTAAGTCCATCAGCCTATTCTGGGTTGTAGTAGTGTGTTGTTGAAACTGTATATTCAGCATAGTTAGCAGTCGATGTTTCAGAAGTATGGGTACTATCTGCAATGTAAATATATGTCAGATATTAAAGGAACCAGAATTGATCCTTGCTGTACTCCTGTCAAGACTTGGTCGAATTGAAGACATTTCTGAGTCCTATCGGGCAGAAACTTTCTTCTTCTTCCTCCTTGTATGTCTTTGAGCGTGGAGGAGCCTTCAGCCACTTCGACCATACATCACGGTCTCTTGCCAATTCCTTCATCTGACCTAGGGTTTTATCTATTTCCTGACCTAGTCGTCGGATATGTTCCAGATATGTTCTTCTGGGCCTGCCTCGTGCTCTCCTGCCAGTTGGCCTCGCTTCTATACATTCCCTTGGTGCTCTGTTTTCTTCCATTTTACATGGTATGTGCCAATACCATCGGAGTTGTCGGCATTCCATATTTGCTTTGAGTGAAAATATCAGGATGCTTCACTCTGTCCTGTTTTTCCCAATATTCTTCATATAAATTTCATTTCAGCCGTAGATTGGGGCAAAGTCAAAGACAAAGGATTGCGGCAGGGCCAATCAGTTTAAAAGGAAAGATTTAATAATAAGATAGTAATTGTGAAGTATTAAGGTTATGAGCTTAAAAGAAGTCCCTGGAACAAGTCTGTATTAGATTCTAGTATAGCACCTTGGAATAATATTTAATAATAAAAATTGTAAATAACTAAAGAAAAAATCTTCTTTCAGTCATTTTGATTGCGGGCGCTTCTTTAAAACATATTATATATCGAAACAGTGTCTTTACCTCATTCACTAACTCTTTTTCAATAGTGTTGCCCAAATGACCGAGCCAAGTCTTGGTCTTGCAAACTCAGTCTTGCGCAAGAGTCTCGCAACAGTCTTGCAATTACCTATTAGCTTAGTACTATAGAGATATTGCTATATTGTTTTAGATAGGGGAAACATAAGTAAGCCCGAATGAAAAATTATAAGAGTTAAATGCAAAAGTATATTGGTTATTCCAATTCTTTACATACAGTATCTTAAATTGTCAAGCATTAGTAACTATTTTGCCTTAATTTTTATTTAAAAAATCGATTATTTTTACAAGTCTTGGTCTTGGTATTGCAGTAGTGAGGCGGTCCAAGACCGATTTCGGGCAACACTATTTTTCACACTTTCTAACACGTTTTCCCACCGATATTTAAAAATAAAGAGGTCATTTTTCATTGTATTTTCCTAAAGTATTCCTATTGGCGGTATGTTTAAGTGAATAACATTATGATTATGTTACCATCCTAAATCTAGATTTGGAAGTAATGTCGTTCTGTTCTATCATTCCCTATGCTTGAAAACTATATTCATCTAAAGCATATGATAAAAGATGATCTTTTTATTTTCACTCTTATTTTGTGAAAATAAAAATTAATAAACAAATCCTAATAATATATAACTATTAGTGAATCTATTTTGATTTAAAAAGATAAATAAATATGAATTTTTATTAGATAATCCGTTATTTTTATATTAATTATTGCGAGGAAGTCTATCTGGATTATTTTTTGTTTGGAATGTTATAGTTCGGAAACCTTTTACAAGTTCTCGACAGGAATAAATATACATATACCGCTTGAAGGTTAGAGTATCTTGCTTAAAATATTGTCTTTGGTAGATGAACCTGAAAAGGTTGGAGGTACCCTAGTGTGCGGGCGGACGAAGCTCAAGACAGGATATAATTAATGGTCGTCCTAACTCACCAGCGCTTAACGGCTTTCACTATTTCCAACTTTCTTCCACGGTCTCTTTATTGCGGGGTCAGTCAACTACTTTATGGGCTACGAGCTGCCTTAAGGGTTAGCGATGGGAAATCTCCTCGGGAATAGTGGAGTGTAATTACTATACTGACGACTAATAAAATTGTCTTGCATTTACAGTACTTAAAAAAAATAAGAAAAAAAAAGGAAATAAAGGTGACTTGAAGAGTAACTTAACTTAACCATTGAAGTGAACTATTTAGAACCGTGACAATATATTTATCTCTTAATGACAGAAACCGTTTTTGACCCAGTCGTTCTGCTCTAAGGCCCATGAGAATGATTTTCTAGCAAGCAATGAACAGATTAATTTTATATCTAGGTTGCATTTTCTTTGTTGTAATAATGGTTTCCAGGAGATGAATGGGACAATAATGTTTATTCGCCGTTTCCTGGAAACTATTTTGGTCATTGGCTGATAGCAGCATTTCTTTTTTTACTTGTCTATCCTTAGGTAAAGGAAATATTGTAACCTGGTAAAATTTTCTATCTGTAGTTTTAAACTGATTATATGGTAAATTTTATATATATAGTCTTTTGAGGGGTAATTAAATTTCTGAAAAAAAAAAAAGAAAATCGAGCCAGATTAAGAATGATACAGCGTATTCAATTTCCTACACGTTTTATTACTTTCCTACCGCTGAGTAAGAAAAATATTTTAATCAGGCCTTGCAATATAAATACGTGTATGAAGATTACACGTTCATTTTTTGATGGGTTGTTAAAGTTCATTCTAAAATAATAAAAAAAAAAATTCCAAAACGAACTTAAAATAGATAAGTTAAAGCTTCTTCAATTTCATACGCTGGTTTTAAACTTACCTGTTTGTTTTGATCCGCCCATTTAACGAAAGGTTCCCACGCCCGGTTACGCACCATGCTCAGATTAAGTACTTTAATTTATCAAAGAAAGCTTACTCCAATAATCTCTCTGAGTATTCCAGAAGTTCATTTCAATCATGATTAAGTTGTCTTGAAAACCAAACCTTAAGAGTATTAATGAGTTTTAAGTAAGAACTGAATAACAAATAAATCTTTGAACCAATAAGACCGTAAATACTTTTTGAGTTTGACTTGAAGATGTATGGACATACCATTAAGCATTTTGTTTTCTGTTCAATTTTTAAAGAAAGCCGAACATTAACTATATCAAATTTATACTCGGTTGTCTTCAGGTTGTGAATAAAATAGTGGTTGTGGAAAATTTCCATCTTAATTTAATCGGATTCTTCTAGTTTCTAATGCAATTAATGTCATCTGGTCGAACGGTCGATTTCAGAATTCAGCTATATCCGAATGATTTTCTAGCCAGCAATGAACAGATTAATTTTATAACTAGGTTGCATTTTCTTTGTTGTAATAATGGTGTCCGGGAGATGAATGGGGCAATAATGTTTATTCGCCGTTTCCTAGAAACTATTTTGGTCATTGACTGAGAGCAACATTTTTTTTTTTTTTAGTTTCTACCCTTAGGTAAAGGAAATATTTACCATAAATAAACACCATACATACAGAAAATACTTTTTGAGTTTGACTTGAAAATGAATGGACATTTTTGTAAGCATTTTGTTTTCTCTTCACTTTTTAAAGAAAGTCAAAGGTTAACCTTATCAAATTTAAGTAATGGTTGTTCATTTTTGTTTTTCTTTTCTTTAATCGATATATTTAAAGTCGTTTGAATTTGTCACAAATCGGTGGGAAAGTCGTTTGGACACACCAGATATTTTCCTTTGGCTATGAATTTCATTCAGTGACCTCTTCTGAAAAGTTTGTACAAGTGATTTTATGTATCCAATGCTTAGAACCGGTTCAAATATATTCAACAAACTAATATTGATCACTGAGGGATCTATGGGAATAGAGCTTTCATACTGAACCCTCAAAATAGAAAAATATTTTTTTTTTTATAGGTGCATATTTCTTTATGTGAGTGATCTGTTTATATATACATTAACAATTGCAAGGTGTGTATTCTTTTTAAATTATAACGCTCATACAGTTACTAAATGCAATTACCTTTCAAGAAAAAATTAAACTGAAAGAATTATTGTTTATGGTATTCCTTCTTTTTTTTTTCATTAGGCCTTCAATGGCCACTTAAATATTATTTTATATATTTTTATTATTTTTCTTCCAGAATAATTACCTTTATATAAAATAAGAAAATCAAGCCTCCTAAAATTAAATCCGGTATCTGCTACTGATGTTAAAGAAAAGTTTGTAGCGAACTAATTCTCTCGACTCGCGGTAATTCCTTTCGCGAACCCTTAGCCTGGGATATATATATCGCGAGTCAATGCCCCCTCGAAATCTCTTTAATGAAGCACTATGAGCTCCCATGAAGAGGAGCCAGTGTTTCTCGACTAATCTAGCATTCCTCATCTCTTCTTGTCAGTATCTGCGCATCTCCATCACAATGGTCTCCTGCCGTTCTGAAACCAGGTCAGTATTCGCCGTTGTCGTCTTTTAGCAGGGTGCAAGGACCACGAAGAGCTGGAGGAGGGATTCACGAACTGTCGAGAGTGTCGCGATAATAATATTTAATACTTAGGGTTAAAATTGTCAATAAGCATTATAAAAGTTCAGAAATTTATATTTTGTCTTATAAATTCTGACACCTACAAACTCAATTCGCTGAGCTTTACAACATTTATAGTTGGTCTCCTATCTTATAATTTATTACAAATTTTTTTTTGTCTTCTATTTTTCATCTGCACCTGTCATGGTAGTGACGATTAGCTGATTTGTGGTCAGGTAGAAAATGGCATGATAGGCATGACGAAGAATGGAACCCAGCAGCACCTCTTCCCTGGTCTGTTTACATCCTAAAATCAGGAAAGGAGATCTCTCATCCAGCTCCTTTATTACAAATTTAAATCTTAAAAAATATGCATGGTTAACATTCAATTGGGTGTGAAGAAACTTATCGAGTAAGGAGAAAACCCTTAAAAAACGACTAAATTAGAATAAATCAAAAAGGTATTTTTTAGGGTGTGTTGAATTTTAAATATTGATTTAAAAAAAATATAATTAATTAAAATTAAAAGCGATCAGATTTAAGATAATTTAAGGAAAAACAATTTCGTTTATGTAAATTACAACGAAAAGGTGTAAAGGTTCTATTTTCTCAGCACTTTCAAAATAACTTTTTTTTTTTTTGTCAAAAATTTTTACCTAACCAGGATGTAGAATTTTTTTTTTGTAGCCGATGAAGATATTTCTCTTAAAAATAGTTCAAAAACGGCTGGGTTCGAGAATTATAATTTTTTCAAAAGATACTTTACGTTTTCCATTACTTTTTTCTCTCAAATTTCGGAAGATATAAATATTTTTCCCATTGAAGAAGAAGAAAATTTTCATAATGAGTGCTCAACATTGTATTTGATTTGATTGACGAAAATATTGCGTGTGAGAAATACATATAAAGATTGTTGAACATTTACATAGCATTCACCTATTTATTATGATTTTTTTGCTAGATCTATTTATTCATTCATAATTGAAAATTGCAAAGCAAAATATTTTCTAGTGTTTCTTTACGTTATGCCGAGTCCCGAAAGATCTCTCACCCAACTCCTTTTCAAGCCCTTCATCATACTGTTAATTAGCCTGATGGCATGCCCATTTATTATGAAAGAGGAGATCGAGAGCCCCTATGTGTTGGCCTATTCAAGATTAACGTTGCTTAATTAACAGTTATCAGTTAATCCTTTGCTGTTAATTAAAATTTACTTGTTTAATTATTCGCAGTTACTCATTCATTCTTGATTCATAGACAGTAATAACACTCTCCGAATGATATAGTTAAGTGATCAATTTACTCATTCATTAAATCAGTTCTTGAGCGCATCATCCGTCTATATTTATTACTAAAACGAAATAAAATCTCATCAAATAAAATTAATGTTAGTAGTATGCCTGTTATACGGATTTTAATGCTGATAGGCATGGAACCAAATTTGTTCTTTGATATTTAAGCCGTAAAAAGTGAGTAGAAATTTTTGTTTTCATACAAAGATTGCAAGCTTATGACTCTACTTTTAGTGATTGAGAAGCAAAATGGATCCTGAGGAAATTCTGAAGATAAACAAGAGACTGGAATAGGAAGATTTTTTTTTTAAGAGTTTGATATTCTAAAGTCAAAAAAAAATATATATATACTAAATATCCTTTAGCAATTTTCCCTAAAATCTGCATTGGAGTTGTAAATAAAACTCCAATACGTAAACACGCGAAGGCACTGACCTCTACAAACGTATACAAGACAGTCTAGATGTGTTTAGCCGAAACATCTACTCAATTTTGAGGAACATTCCGGGACTAAATAATAATTTTTTGTCTATTTGGTACAGTATAGCTCATTGGAGAATGTTTATAATATTTTTTTTTTATTTCTTTGAGCACTTGCCAAGTTATCAACCGAGATATCTCTGAATTGGAAAACGCTTGTTTACTTTATAATTTATGATTAGCCAACTGTGAACAAACAGTTAGAGAATGAATGTTATAGAATATTTAAGAAATGCGTAGAATATGAAAGAGGAAAAAAATGTGTTTGTAGAACCGATTTGTTATGGAAAAGATCCGGAAAATCTAAAGATTAGGTAATCATTTCTGATCCAAAGTGTGACTGAATTATTATCCGTGCAGAGAATATTAAACTGAAATATAATAATGAGCATGTAAAGTCCTGATTTATGGAGGAAATTCATGTTACATGTTTAGTTATATGAACGCTTATATATCGTGTAAGGTAAAAATATAATCGTGCCCAGAAAATAGTTTTATATAAATATTTGTTGAATGCAAGTAGGTTATTAATTAGAAAATAGTTTTAAAATATTCAATAAATAGTTTATTAACATTTTCATGATCTGAAAGTTTGCATACATATTGCAACTTTGATATGTGCAATAAATACATATATAGTATTTGACACAGAGTCATATTTCTTTTAAACACAAAATATCTTGTAGTGTACATTAGCCCTTTTATGATAAAATATGGACATTTTTAGAAAAAAACAAACAAAAAAAAACGTTCTTATGTGAAAATTCAATCAATTAATTTATTAATTAAAAAATAATAGATTTAATTAAAGGTGCGGTTAGGGATACGAGGAAATAAGTTTCAAATCCAGCTCGAACCATTCAAAACAAAATCACAGGTAACACCAAAAACCTAAAATCGTTTCTTATATGATCTTGATAACCCCATAATTTTAAAGTTATTATTATTATTTTTTCTATGTTTATCAGTCAAATGACATTGCGAAGCGATGTGTACTGAGAATTTTTTGAAAATGTGAAAAGTCGAGAAAATAAATTTTCTCAAAAATGTGTATTTAGCCGGTTTTGAAGCTGGTCGACTATTATACCTTATTTTATTTTTTTAATTCATGATATTTACAACTGTATTACAATATAAATACATCAAGTAAATGTGTATACAGGAATATACTCACATGAAAACGCTTGTTGAGAAATACCCACTGGTAGCACTCTAATGATATTTCTAAAGAAGATCTTCTTTTGAGACCATCTTCTTTTCAGACTCCTCGGAGGGATAATTTAATTAAACATGGAAATATTCAGTCGTTTTTCTAATTTTAAGGGTACATACCAGACTCAAACGACTAGAAACCGCCCGACGTTTTCAACTACTGCATTACTTACTAGACAAACGCTCTAAACTTCCAACAATTTATAAAATACTCATATATATTACTACAATGAGGCCTATTTGGACTTATCGAGCTTCAAATGTTTCGTATTCAATTCCTACAATCCTTCATAAAATCCTCAATGCTCCCTGCTTTGTCACAAATAAATCATCCATAATGACCTCAATGTACTATATGTTTCCGATTTAGCTCAATCCAGATACCTATTCTTCCATAATAAACTTCTGAACCATCTTGTTTCCAAGCTTGCTTCCTCTTCTATTCATAACCCTCCGATGATAACCGTCCGACGCGTCTGAAAAGAAGATGGTCTTCCAATATAGAAATATAATTGGAGTGCTACCATTGAGTAGTTTCTCTTTATGTTGTACATGTCATGTTACTTGTTTCATATTTACTTGTTGTATGTATCATTTAACACAGTTATAAATTTCAATAATAATAATAAAAAAAAATTATGGTGTTTTATTTTTCATATGTATAAAATTAGTAAATTGCACTAAAGTTTAAGAAGTTACAAGAGAAAAACGAAGTCATTTATAAATTATGTTAAAAATGAATAGATAAGTGATAATAAATACCAAAATCTTCGGATCAACACAGCATCGATTGAAACGTCATTCGGTTATTGGCATGAAATAGGAGAAGTGCATCGCTTTAAAAAAACTAGCGGTACGCTGCCATTGAATCCGATAAGTATGCAGCGGGTGCATCTAGCTTCCACTTAGCTTCCAAGAAGCTTCTACCTCTCCGCAGGATCATGAAAGTATTCTAGCTTGGGATTACCCATAGATCATTCCAAGTCAACAAAGCGCAGCAATGGCACGAGGTACTGCAATAAATGCTTAACAAATCATAAATTCCGCATTAAGGCGTTATCTCGAAAACAAATAGAGCATTTCTGACGCTTGTGGAATACCTAACGAACATAAAATGGTAAGACTTGTATGATAAGCTGTTCAATAAAACTGTTGTTTATTATTTAGTTTTTTGTTTTGTTTTTTTCCATTCCTGGCGAATCAATTTTGAACTTTCCAAGACCTGCTTGTGTCATAATAGATGTTTCATTTGTACAACATATGTCTTTATTTTGATTTTGGTCTGTCATTCTTCCTAATGCACACCAGTTTTGATAAGTTAAGATGTACTAGTATAAGTTTTTTATTTACTTAGTAATAGAGAGATGCAAGTTTAAAATAAGTTTCAAAACATTCAAAACTAATAGTATAACATTTCTAAATTATTAAAACATTCATGTACCATTAAGTGGTCCTGTTAATAAAAAATAAACTAAAAAAACAAAACAATCATAGATTTTAAGGAAAATACCTCATATATTTAAAATTTGTTATTAGGACTTCTTACTTTAGGGCATCCATCGTGTGTAAATATATTTATGTAAATAACCTACAAGTATACCATAAACTATTTCTAATATTTAAAAAAATCCTATAAATAAAAATTAATTACTCTAATAAACAAGATCTCAAAGTTTCCACCTCTCTAGTTCAATGGTGATATAAGAGCAATTATATTAAATATCAAATGTAGTGTAAAAAAAATATAATCTATTAAAGTTGTTTACAAAGCTACTTATAATTTTTGGTGATTTTTCTTTCTTTGAGGTATAGACTATACTACTTTTTGACAAAACTTCATTTTGATACTTTTTCGTCTAAAAACTTAAAAACATAGCAACTTAACTTTGTTTACATACGATATAAAACAGCCCAACTCATTTTCCTGAAAAGTGGAACTAATCAGCTAATCATCAGCGTATTGATGAAGAAAATAATGGAATTGCTGAAACTTCAAATTTTTACGCTATTGAATTTTGGTGGAGTGGTTTCGCTCATTTCCATTACTTGCTCTTTCTATTTAATTACGATGTATATGCTATAAAATAATTTATTTATTATTACCAATACTCCACATATGGTGATAAGGTGCTAACTTCCAATGCTCAGGATCGATCCTGAGGTCAGGATACCCTTCTGGGACACCTTCAGCCTCTATTTACGTGGGTCCCTTAATTAAACAGTTAATTAAGGGCGAAAACCAAGCTGTTGAGGGCGTGATGTCGGTCAAATCACCTCCTTGCTCAACCGTTGACCAAGAAACAGTACTTTCTTACAAAATACTGAACCCAAGACGTTTGATGTATTGGTACTGATAGTAATAGTAGTAACACTCTACACTAAGATGACGTTTACTGAAGTACAATCATATGAAATAATTATTCATCTGATACAGTTGGTCCGTGTCTCGGTGAGTCAGTGTTTGAAGATTACCTCTCTTTGAGAATTCTTCCTCTGTATATTCCAGAAAGGCCACGGAGACACCATCATCGACTAGCGGATTCCGAAGAGCAGAATCTAGGACATGATTGTTTTCTTTTCTTTCGCTATCCTCTTCCTTCCTCAAGACCATTCACTAAGTTTCTGGGTCATCCGGTGCGGCCCTGGGACCTTGCTAACATTTCTTTCCATTGTTCTCCGAGGAATGTTTTCTTTTCGCGGGCTCCATTTCCCTGCTCAATGAGGTCTCCGCGATTACACGGATTTTTTTTTTGTAGACTGTTAATGATCTTTGTAGTCGTCGTGATGTGGCCGGTGATGCGATTCCACTAATTAAGGACGTTTTCGAAATTAGGACGACCGCTAAATTCATTATCTTGAGAAGTTGGGTCAATTTTCCTCAATGTTAATTGTACTTTTTGTAAATGGAACGGATTCTTTTTTATTTGAGTACTTTAAATAAATTTTTATTTCATTTTACTTTTTTCTTCCTTGTATATTTTATGATAAAAAGTTTTTGTTTCTGTCAAGCAATATATATATATATATATATATATATATATTATATTTATATATATATATATATATATATATTTCATATTAATCACTTCTAAATATTATGTGTTTAGGTAAGCCGTCAAAAAAAAAAAAATTGTCTCTAAAAAAATTATATCAATTAAAAATTCAAAGAACTCAATTTTAATTTAGAAACATTTACTAATTTATACTATTGTATACTAATTTATATTACTAATTTATACGGGGAGTACAATTTATTTCTTCGATATTATCCAAGATTTTTTTTTTTTTTTTTTTTCATGAAACCCAAAAACTATACTTTCTATTCCAATTGTAATACGGAAAATAATATTTTCTGAAAAATAAATTAAAAATTTCTTTATATGAAGCACGTATTTTCGAAAATCACTGCAATAGTAATTTAGAAATGTTGAAACTTGAATAGAACCGAAAAAAAAAGATTGAATGGAGAGAAAAAAATGGTGCATGGAGAAGATAATTAAAAACTATTCTATAAAAATTTAACTTTTCTTATGATAAAATTGATTTATTTTGGTTTATTATGTTCAAAAATGAACCATTTTAACCGTCCAAAAAAATTTTAAAAAAGAACCTTAACCTCCCTCTCCCTCAAAATTTGAGGGTTTTACCGTTTCACGATATCTAGAATTTGAAAATGGAGTACATTTTTTTTTTTTTTTTTTTTGGTCGTCTGCCGTCCCCGGCTTTGCTACGAGACTACTGGACCATTTTTTTTTTTTTTTTTTCAAATTTAGAATACAAGTCAGTTCTCACCCGAGGATGATCCTCCTTCGACATTACTATCTGCTCTTTTCTTCCAAGATGGCGGCTTCAAAACCTGCGTTGGTATAGGCTGTAGCCCCTAAATAAATGAACTAAATTTTAATTTTCCTTCGGCTAAAATGCTCTCAATGAATTTTTTTTTCAGAATAGTTAGAGAATGATAGTTTCATTCCTTGAAAAAAAAAATAATAATACATCGGTTTCGGTGTTACACACAAAATTATCTCCAAACCACTTTTTTAAATATTTAGTTTCGTTTTTGAAAAAATTAAATTAACTATCGGATTCATTGAGGTTTTTTTTTACAAAGTGATCGATACTTATCTCGATTTCCTAAAAAAAAATCGATTATAGTTCATTTTGATAATAATCTACTACTATAATGTAATTGTGATAATAGTTATTATATATCTATATCTGTGATAATATCTATATCTGTGATATATCTATATCTGTGATAATATGTATAAATATTCAAGAGTTGATAAATATATTTAGGATATACGTTTAGGATCAACAAATATGTTTAGGATCATTAGCTATAACTTGGAAATAACGTTCTTTCTAAAAAAAACTCAATCACCATCTTCTAACGAATAGTTTTTTTCTGTAATGCGGCGTTTTTTGTATTTATCGAACATCACACTCTTAATTATCCCTAGGAAAATAGCCAGAAGGAATGTTGTATCCCCTTGTCGTTTGTTTCCTCCGTGTTTATTATCTCTCGCGGTAGTGTGCCTCCACATCCGTATCAGCTTCGAAGAAGTAGGAGCTAGATAAAAAATAAATGCTTCGCGAGGCCAGAGATTCCGACGGCAAAAAGAACCGGCGGAAGAAAAAGGTAGGGAGAACATATTTGTAAGTTGCCGAGATTAAAGCGCTACGTGGAGGAACGCCAGGTAGGTTTTTGTAAGAGTAACAACCCCCACGGATCTAGTCATGTTGGCTATGCCGCTCCCCGCCAAACCTCTTCATAAACCCAATTAGTTCTGCCTTCTGCGAAGAACTTTATCGAGGGAATGAGTCGTGCTGTATTCGAAGGAGGGGGAATCCGGAGGGTGAGCTAGGAGTTCTCAAGTTGTCTTTTTGTGCCTCATATATTTCCCATTCCATTGAAAAAGCTAGATTTACTGCTGTACTACTGATGTGTCATGGAATCAAAAAATATATATGTGGCATTCCAAGCGGGCTAGTATTGTAGCTAATTTTGCCATCACTTCATTCGCTTTCTGTTCTCCCAAATAATTTAAGACATATGCGTAAATGCCTTTCAATAGTACTGAACCTTGATCAACATCCGTTGCTGAAACAAGGCGTTGTATTTTTCGCAGCTGTCATATTAGTAGTTTGCGTAATGTGTTAATGAGATATCTTCGGCACCATATTAAAGTAACGGATGTGCAACGTTAAATTGGCTCACATTCGTTACTTTAACATTGTGCCGACGATGTAACGGTGATTTGAGGTATGTTTTGATATAACCAATTTCCTTGTAAATTTTATTCCTAGCTACTTAGGATTTTTCCAATCAATCATCTTCAGAATCAAGACTTTTGACGAAAATTGTGATCCATAAGAATCGGCGTTCAAACATATTTTTTATTACTTTGTTATGAGACAGTTGAGGTTTATTATTAGACAGTTAAATGCCCTCATTAGATTTATTACATTTTAACTTTATTTTTATTTTAGTATGGATTAAACGGTAAATCCAGTTTATTTATTTAGATAAACCTCTTTATATTGGGCAAGATAAATTTGCTAAATACTGCATTAAAAAGAAAATATGCTTGTAGTGTTGTAGGAGGGAAAAAAAGGAAATACAGCTCAATACTGCAAGTCTTGGCTAGCGGCTTTGCACTCTTTTGGGCGGATCATAAGAATTTGTGAATAGAGTTTCAGTAAGTCGATTTGAATTTAGAGTCAGTCTGTCATGAAAATTATTAAAACTATCTGTACCAGTAATAAAAAGAATATTTAGGTCAGTGTATAGCATCTGATTAGAGACTTGAAAGTAGCACCTACAAGTTTCCTAACAACATTGGATTGTAATGATTAAATTATTTTTATATTTGACTTATTTGCTCTTCCCCATAAATCTGTTTCAGTAATAGCAAATTTGTCTTAAAAACAAATCTTTTTTCGTTCATACAGGTCCGATTTTTAGTTTTTGCAGTATTTTAATCCATATGCAAAAACACTTCAATTAGACGACTCCAGCCGACTTTACCCGACCGTTACGTATCGGAAATCAGACGTCTCAATCTAATTCACTCTCCAAAGAAAATGTGCAAAACGTGCCTAAAAATGTCTTCCCTTAAAAAAAATCCAAAACTTTACCACTGTAACACAGTGTAATGGAGAAATAAGGCAATACTAATGTTTGCACTCACCTTTAGCCAATAGGTTTTTGATTTCTAACCTATATTAGCTTCATTAGATTTCTAAGGAAAATCGATTTACTAAACTATGAATCTTATATCTCATTCTTGATGTTTGTTGTAGATACACGGGATGATATCAAACATATAACAAATTTTTGTCTAGATAAGTTAATGATAATCTTGTCGAACCATAAATATATGTACGTATTGAGTTTTGTGTTGTTGTCTTACTTTATGTTTCATCATCAACGCAAATGATATATTTAAAGTAAAATAAATAAGAATAAATATTTTTCATGCACACCACTCGGTTCAGTCGAAAAAAGAAATATTCATGGAAGCTTTTTCTTTTCCTAGATTACTCAATTATGATTAATCTTGGAATCTTTTACGAATATTTGATGAACGAGGAAGTGATTTAAGAGATCCTTGCATGGGACAGATGCTCAGATCGAATTTTCAAGGCCCAGTTGGACATGTTCTTGTTTTACAATGACTTCGGAAAAACTTTCTTGTTTAAGGGCGACAATAAACCAAACGAATTTATTTTTATTTTCCTGTTGATTAATCCATTGTCTGTTAGACTTTTTGTCCATTCGGATATCGGGGCAATGAAAGAAACGTCCCAGACAAAAGGTTACGCAAGAGTGAGGAAGGCGTGGCCCAGCCGAGCAGGCCTGCCAACCGAGATTTGTTTACGAGTCGCCCGGAGAGAGAGCTTTCACTTTCCGTATCCGGCTCTCACTGGGGTGGCAACACTTTCAATACTCAGCGCCACACATTACTGAACATATATCGGGGATTAGAAAGTTAGAAGCATAAAAAGGAATATGTTGTAATGCAGGTGAACATGTGAACATGTGTTCAGGAATATGGGTGAGAGGGTGAGGGAGAGGGAGAGATAAATGAGAAAAGGGGCAATTTCATTTTTTTTCTTTTTTTTTTAATTTAGTTAAAGACGGTTTATAATATACCGTGAAAAGCATCACATTCACATTAGATCAAACGTCAAAAAGTATAACGGATTTATACCTGTTTAAAATTAGTTTGAAAAATAACCAGGAGGATAAAGACATCGAATTTGGCATTCCTTCCTTTTTTGTCTCGTTCAAGATTTTTTCGACCAATTCTTCATATTAAATAAATTATGAAAAGTTCTTGAGGGACTTGATTCCTGCCCGACTGACTGATCAGTGTCTTGATTTCTGGATATCGGTCTAAATAAAACTTTAATAACCATGACTATTATAAATAAAAAAAGCCACAAACTTAAAATATTTTTGTATTTTTATGTTCGACTACATTAAGGATGAGGAAGAAAATCAAACTAGTTCCAGCTAAAGTAAATAAAGCAGAGGAAAATCCTTGATGATTGAAAAGAAAAAGGAGAGAAGGACATAAGAAATTAAACTTCTATTCATTTCAC